TGGGCAGCAGAGTGAGACTCCAACTCAAAAAAACAAAAAACAAAAAAATTATGATACTGCACAAATATTTTCTTGCACATTGTTTCTTTGTATGTTTGTGTAAGTAAACATCCTAGAAGCAGAAAAACTGGGTCTAAAGATATGGACCTTTGAAATTCTAAAAGCAATTGCTAAATGTCCCTCTGTAAGCGTTTGTACTAATTTGTGCTTCTGCCAACAATATGAAAGTGTCCATTTTCCCATACTGTGATCCTCCCCATTTAATGGTTTTTACTTTTTCTAGCTTTTGTGAATGATTTTATTGTACTTTGCAAGATCAGATTTCAACTAGTTTAAATATAAAGCAGTCTGTTTATTATTACAGTAAGTTCTCATGTACCATAAATTAAATATCTTTCTTTAGGTCTAAATACACTGGGATACAGTGTCACTATTGTAGAGCCACAATATGATTCCTTATCTAGAAGTGTGAATGTTTACTTGAAATTGCAGGATTGACTTCATAATACATGTTCCCCCTTAAGTGTCTGATTTTACTGCTGGCTCTCACTAATGTAAAATGCATAACCAGTCAGTTTTATTATACCAGAGCAGCAATTACCTTGTTTTTAAAACTGGTACTGTTCTTGGGGAGGTTTTCAAAAGGATAGCTTTGGAATTGTTGCAGAATTTCTCCATGAAAAGAAAATTAACTGAAATTAACACTGTTGTAAAGAATTTCTACTTGAGATAATTGATTTGAAACTAGTAAGTCCTGGTCAGTAACTTTTGAAAGATATTAAAACAAGCTTAACGCTGGGAGTGGTGGCTCACACCAGTAATCTCAGCACTTTGGAAGGCCAAGAAGGGAGAATTGCTTGAGCCCAGGAGTCTGACACCAGCCTGGGCAATATAGCAAGACTCATCTCTACAAAATTTTGTAAAATAAATAAATAAAATAAAATAGAAAAATCTGAAGACTCCACCAAAAACTGTTAGAACTGACACTTATTTTTAAGTTTAAAAGGTAGTGACACTCCATATTGTGATTTTGCTTAGAGAAGATAGGTGAGAGATACAAACTCTCTTTCTAGTAGCTTACTGGTAAACGCATTATTTTGACAAGTTTCAGTTTTTTGTTTGTTTGTTTATTTGAGTTGGAGTCTTACTCTCTCCCCCAGGCCAGAGTGGAGTGGCATGATCATGGTTCACTGCAGCCTCGACTTTTATGCTCAGGCCATCCTTCTGCCTCAGCCTCCCAAGTAGCTGGGACTACAGGCACATGCCACCACACCCAACTAATTTTTTGATTTTTTAGGCTGTATCTCGCTATGTTGTCTAGGCTGGTCTCAAACTCATGGGCTCAAGGAGTTCTCCCACCTCAGCCTCCCAAAGTGCTGGGGTTACAGGCATGAGTCACGACACCTGGCCAAGTTTCAGATTTGACTGAGTTGTGGTGCATTGCTGAAGCAGGTGCATCCGGGGTTCTTCCTGCTTCAGTTAGTGCTGAATCAGCAAGAAGTTGAACTTTATGTTGCCAAAAACTCTGCTCCTCTCCAGTTTCTTTTCTGCTGTACAATCCGTCACATGAAAGAGGAGTTTTGTTTATTTGAGACATTTAGAAAGTATACATTTTGGCAAACTAAAATGCCTATGATGGGCTATTTAAGACAAAGATTTCTGTTCTCAGATAAATTAAAAATTATTTTAAGCCCATCATTTGCTACTTAATTTGTAATTCAGGTTTACAAACTGTAGTTCTGCAGACACAATCTTTCTAAAGTAGATTTGTCCCTAGTAGCAGTGCACAGAGATGCACTTTTCAGGTTCTGTAGTCAGAATGACCCCCTGCGGTTGTTGCTAAAAGATACTTTGCCTATATATTGCAGTAAAGATCACTGCTTTAAACTTAGCAAAAGTGAAGATATTATTTGTTTCTGATCAGTGATTACCAGAATGATGAATAACATTTACCTCATGGTAAGCCATTTGAAATTTGTCTTGTCTTTGAAATTCTTTTTGTCTCATAACTTACTGAAAATATTTTTAAAATTAATACCAGCTGGGCTCGGTGGCTCAGCCTGTAATCCCGTGCCTTTGGGAGGCTGAGGTGAGTAGATTGCCTGAGCCCGCGGGTTCGAGACCCACCTGGGCAGGCGAGACCTCATCTCTACAATAAAATCAAAAAATTAGCCGGGTGTAGTAGCGCGTGCCTGTAATTCCGGCTACTCGGAAGACTGAGGCAGAAGGATCACTGGAGCCCAGCAGGTCGAGGCTGCGGTGGCCGGGAGCGGCCACTGCACTTCAGTCTGGGCGACAGAGTGAGACTCCAACTCAAAAAAAAAAAAAAAATTATTAGTACCTTAGAATGTGTCTCTTATTGCACTGGAAACAAAGAAGCAATACTTTCTAGACTTCTGAGCAGGGATGCCAGTAATAAAAATAGCAGCTGTCATCTGTTGAACTCTTACTACCCAAAGTGAGAGGCACCATGGTGGTCCTTTACATATGTTATCTCAGTCAATCTTTGCAACTACCCTGCGTAATAAGGACTGTTATTCCTATTTGTGCGTAAGAAAATTGTTGCCAAATAATTTTATAGATAAGGAAGCAGAGCAATTTGCTCAAAGAGCATAGCTCTTTAAGTGCTAAGATTTGCATCAGGTGTTCTGCTCTGCTGCCCAGTTAAATTATCCACATAAAGTGATCAGTGGAAGTTGACGTGTACTCACACCAGTCATGAGTGGTTCTAGGCTTAGTCCTGGACCTCTGGTCTTCTTGTACACCACTCAATGCAGCATCTTTTTAAAAAATATCTTTTAGATTCAGGACCTATATGTGTAGTTTTGTTATATGGATATATTGCAAGCTGGTGAGGTTTGGGCTTCTATTGAACCTGTCACCCCAACAGTGAACATGGTACCCAATAGATAGTTTTTCAACCTATATCCCCCTCTCCCCTCCCTCCCTTTAGGAGTCCTAGTGTCTGTTGTCCCCATCTTTATGTGCATCTGTGCCCAGTGTTTAGCTCCCACTCATAAGTGAGAACAGGTGGTATTTTGTTTTCTGTTTCTGTGTTAATTCGCTTAGGATAATAGCCTCCAACTGCATCAATGTTGCTGCAAAGAACATGGTTTTGTACTTTTTTAAGGCTGTGTAGTATTCCATGGTGTATATGTACCACACTTGCTTTGTACAATCCACTATTGGTGGGCATTTAGGTTAGGTTCCGTGCTTTTGCTATTGTGAATAGTACTACAATAAACATGAGTGTGGGTGTCTTTTTAGTAGAATGATTTATTTTTCTTTGGGTATATACTCAGTAATGGGATTGCTGGGTTGAATGGTAATTCTATTTTTAGTTATTTGAGTAATCTCCAAACTGCTTTCCATGGGGGCTGGTTTACATTCGCACCAATAGTATGAGTGTTCCCTTTTCTGTACAACATTGTCAGCATCTGTTGTTTTTTGACTTTTTACTAAAAGCCATTTTGACTGCTGTGAGGTGGTATCTTATTGTGATTTTGTTTGCATTGTGAGAAGATATCTCATTGTGGTTTTGATTTGCATTTCTAGAAGTTCCTTCTAGATTCTGGATATTAATCCTTTGTCAGATGCAGTTTGCAAATATTTTTTCCTGTTCTGTAGGTTGTCTGTTTACTCTTATGCAACATTTTTATGCATACCCTTGATCTCAAGTGCTGTGTATTAGAGAATTTTCTCTTTAGCTACAACTAAAAAATGCCTAAGACATCTTTACTTTTTTTCAATAACTTCTTTGAATGTAGCAGTACCTACCCAGTAACCTACTCCTCCCTCCATGTTCTCTGTCTTAGCAAGGGCCACCATCTTGCCACATCTGAAGCCTAATACCTGGGAATTTTCTTTGACTCATCTCATCTCTCGTCCACACATCTAAGATGTGGTACCATGTCTATCTCCTTAACATCACTTGAGTACATCCGTATCTTCCATTCCCTTGCCCTCTTCAGGCTACCATTGTGTCTTGATTAGATTACCATCACAGCCTTTAAACTGGTCACTTTGCATCCTGCCTTACCTTATGTTCTGTTCTGTTCTCCACTCTTCTAATTAAATGTGTGAGCCCATCACGTCTGCTTAACACTTGTCAGTGAGTTTCGGTTGTTCTCAGGATAAAAGTCCAAACTCCTCATTAAGACTTGTAAGCACCTCCCCAGTCTGGCCGTGCTTCCTTGGCCTTCTCTCGTCTGCTTTGTCACTCATTTGGTTCTTAGCACTTACTGTTCGTTCTGTCTTCAGTGCTCCTCACTCCACACGCCAGAGCCTTTCATCCACTCCTGCTCCTGCATATCTTTGAGGGCCAGTTGTAACCTCAGTTTCTGACAAGGGAGGCTTTTCTTTCCATAGCATCCATGACACTTTGGCTCAATGTTGCTCTTCATTTCCAGGCAGTAGTAAGTTCTGTGTAGCAGAGACCGCTGTTCCACCTCATTTTCAGCACCTGGCATAATTCCTAGCATGAAAGAGATACTCAGAATTTATAAAATATGGTCTTTACCCCTAACAGGATCAAAGCCCAGTGGGAGTTAGAGTATGGCAAAGAAATAACTTCAATATATGCGATAAGTACGCTAATAAAATGACATGGGATCACAAAGGAGTATATAACCTTATATGATTGAAGAAATTGACTTACAGCATTCAGAAAAAAAGAGTTCTGCTGAGCAGTAGAATTGGTTCACTTGGATTTTGCCTTATTTTTTGATCACTTGTTGGGCAAGAGTTTTACAGATACTTTTAACATTCTAAGGTTATATCTCAAGAACTTCAGAAAGTCTGCGCTAGGTATAGCTGAGTAAATTGACTTAACTTCAAGTCTTCCCTAATCAAAATTGGCTCTAGCCCTTTTATGTTCCATTTTACAAGTCATATATGTTGTATCTTTGCCTTCAAACTCTAATAGCTGAAACAGGCAGCACTGAATCCATGAATAACAGACATGTTATTTATGTTTAGATTTTTATTTATTGTCCTTCCAGCTTTGACCGCCATTGAAGGCACAGCACATGGGGAGCCCTGCCACTTCCCTTTTCTGTTCCTGGACAAGGAGTACGATGAGTGTACATCAGATGGGAGAGAAGATGGCAGGCTGTGGTGTGCGACAACCTATGACTACAAGGCAGACGAAAAGTGGGGCTTCTGTGAAAGTAAGTATTGCTCGATAGGGGGCATATTCACATCGCTTTATGTGTATGGCTTGTTATTGTTGTTGTTGAGTTGGGGGTCTCCCTATAGCCCAAGCTGGAGTGCAGTGGCATAATCATGGTTCACTGCAGCCTCGACCTCCTGGGCTCAGGTGATCCTCCCTCCTCAGCATCCCAAGTAACTGGGACTATAGCATGCCACCATACCTGGCTAATTTTTTTATTTCTTTTAGAGACAAGGTCTCACTATGTTGCCCAGGTTGGTCTCCATCTCCTGGGCTCAAACAGTCCTTCCACCTTGGCCATTCAAGGTGCTGGAATTACAGGTGTGAACCACTGTGCCCAGCCTCAGACAACATTTTTAAGGCCATTTTTCTAGCCATCCTTTTCCACATTGGTCAGAAATGAACACTGGTGATGACGTGGTTATAGCCTTAAAGAGTGAACTTCAGAGTGGGAATCATGTGGTGTATTTGCTTTCAGACTGTCACTCAGGCAGCTGTCACCCTCATGTTTTATTTAGAGATGGTTTTCCATTGGTGTACATAGGTTGTTTTGTAAACCCTTCGGGTAGGCTGCTAAATTAACTGACATAAAACATGTTTTAGCAGTAAAGGCAAGAGTTAATAGTGATTAGAAAAAAATTACTAATACCTTTTAAAAATACTTTGAGTGAAATATGTTGTACTAAAGCAGCTTTTGACAGATATAGCATATTTAACCACCTTTAGTGTAAATGTCAGTATAAAAGTTCTGACCTCTGCAGATAGGCTGTTTTCAGGAAAAACTTTCTAACTATGAAAGAACAGCAGAAAACTTTGAATGTACTCCCTTTAATATCAAACAACATTTTTAAAATAATGACTCTGATAGAATATTTGAGCATTCCTAGAAGATAACATCAAATATAGTCCATCTTTGAATGCAGGCCAGTATAACTGGGTACTCCAGTTTAATGCATCAGAATTTTTTAATTTTATTTTTTGTAGAGATGAAGTCTTATTGCATTGCCCAAATAGGTCTTGAATTCCTGGCCTCAAACATGCCTCCCAAAGTGTTGGGATTACAGGTGTGAGCCACTGCACCCAGCCCAGAAATTTTTTTATATTATAAGAGTTCATTTCTATTTCTATAAATATTGGTTCTAATAACATATTCATGTCTTTTGATGAGGTCTAGATTTCTATTAAAATGCTAGATGATAGTAGCAAAATAATTTTTGAAAAATCCATAACAGTTCTGTGATTTTTCAGTGTTTTATCAGTTATGAAAAAATTAGTGAACTTGAACATTAAATCAAGATATTTAATAAAAATCAATTTGTTACTAATTGTTATAATGTGATGGTTCAAATACTTTCTAATGACTCTGATAGAATATTTGAGCATTCCTAGAATGCTCAAGGCATAGTGGTTCAAACCTATAATTCTAGCACTTTGGGAGACCAAAGCAAGAGGATCACTTGAGGTCAGGAGTTTGAAACCAGCCTGGGCAACACAGTGAGACTCTGTCTCTAAAAAAAACATAGCCAGATTTGATGATATATGCCTGTAGTCCCAGCTATTCAGGAGGTTAAGGCAGAAGGATCACTTGAGCCCAGGAGTTTGAGATTACAGGGAGCTATGATTGTGCCACTGCACTCCAGCCTAGGCAAGAGAGGGAAACCCTGTCTCTAAAAAAAAAAAAAAGATACACACACACACACACACACACACACACACTGCACACAGGATTTCAAATAGGGGTAAAGTGTCCTTTGACTACAACAGAACTTTTCTGACTATTGTGTTCTTGTGTCCTTCTCATTTTAGCCGACCTTGTGTATAACCTGCAATTTTGGTTGAATTATATTTTAAAGAGTTAGTGTCACTATCAGAAAAGCCCCCTCTAAGAGCAGCTTTGTATTGCTTTCTTTAAAAGAAAATGATTTCAATGAATTTTACGGTTTTTAAAAAAAATCTTATCTTGTGTCAGTTAAAGCCCACACTTAACCCAAGTGTTTTTGGAGTCATATTTGGAAATAGTAAAAAAGCATTCCTTGTGTTTATATGACTACCCATAAGAAAGAATAAATACTGATGCTTGATAAACAATTGATGTAGCATTAAAATTCATTTAATTGCTTCTGACGTTGTTTTTAGCTGAAGAAGAGGCTGCTAAGAGACGGCAGATGCAGGAAGCAGAGATGCTGTATCAGACTGGTATGAAGATTCTCAACGGCAGCAATAAGAAAAGCCAAAAGAGAGAGTAGGTAGCATGCTAAGTCCACTCTTCCCCCAAGACAGGCTGTTACTAAGACAAATAGCCTTCTAATTTTTTTTAATGTACTACCAGATACGCAGGTTTCTTAAGTTCCATTATAAGAAAACATGACATGATTATAGCATTAGTGGCATTGCTTATATCAGATTTTAGTCTGTTAGGATTAAAAGGTTGTAAATACTGATCTTAAGAATGAACAATGAGTAAAATAGAAAAAATTGTCTCAAGTTTTAGTAATGTCTAAGAATCAAGAATGTGTATACTATTCAAAATTCAAAATGGCATAAAACAAGAAATTACAGTCCAAGTGTGTTTGTTTTTTGGCTTTTTGTCTTGTAATTTTCTACTGAGATTTAGGAGTTTGCACTTGGAAGAAACATAAAACAAGTTATTGTCTTCTGACACTTTATGTCCTTTTAATTTCAGCAGGCTTGTCTGTACAAAGATTTTAAAAAGAAAATTACAGTGGTTATTGGATTATTCACTGGACACCATAATATTCTCTTATTGCAAATCTCGTTAACTTTTTTAATAGTTTTTAGAATCAGAGAGATTCTATAATAGAAGGAAATTATTTATGCTATTATTTTAGTAGATCTTGAAAAACCTTAATCCATGACATCACTAATTTATTTTTTTGATCACTTATATTTAAAGAGCATATCGGTATCTTCAAAAGGCAGCAGGCATGAACCATACCAAGGCCCTGGAGAGAGTGTCATATGCACTTTTGTTTGGTGATTACCTGACACAGAATATCCAGACAGCGAGAGAAATGTTTGAAAAACTGACCGAGGAAGGTTCTCCCAAGGGACAAACTGTAAGTGCATATCTGATAGAGAATCTCTCTGCACACTGCATTTGTTGATTTTTAACAGCAGTTTGCTTTCTGTGCCCTGACTTTTTTTTAACAAGCAAGACTTGGAAGATAAAATATCTTTAAATATCTGTTTTGTGGCAGATCATCCTATCAGTCTTTAGATAATCTTTTTCCCATAGTCTGAGAATATTTATGGTCAGTGAAGGCATTTTTGCAGTTGAACCTGACCACAATTACATTTGTACTTTTTCAAATTAGATCTGTGGAGATTGAAATAAGAAGGTAATTTTTTTTATCTGAAATTACTCACCATTGCATTTTTTCCAAAATTCAGATGCTACAACTCCTATTAATCTTGGTTTTTTAAATATATATGTATATATATATGTATTTTATTACAGAAGCAGTAATATTTATTATGGGAAACTAGAAATACAGACTAACAAAACTAAGAAAATAAATATCACATATGTACCCCCCAGATATGCGCAGTGGTGATATGTTAGTACATGCATATAAACCTTTCTCTATGTGTATAGTACCTATGCTTTTTTTAAAATTAAAATGAGATACCCACCCTATGTTTATATGGCATTGAACCAAAAAATTTTCTTTATACCTGTTTTGTCCAAACAAGTATTCAGGCCTATATTTTACATTTATTTTTATTTCTAGCATAGCCTCTGCCCTTTTTGTCTCTGTTAGAGATAGGGCCAGTTTTTCTATAGAATGTCCTTTCTCTGTTTGTTTGCTTCTTCATAGTATCCTTTAGTTTGTTTCTCCATCATCTACATTTCCTGTAAATAGGATGTTACAGCTAAAGACTGATGAACTCATATCAAAATATTTTTGGCTAGTGTACATTTAGAGGTTGTTCTGTATTCCACATTGGATCACATTAGCTGGTAAGGTATTATCTGATTGTTTCCCCATGAGTAATGCTAAGAATGACATGTGGATTCAGGGGGCCATCAGATTTCTTTAAAATGTCTTCAATAATTCAGGTTTATTCAAGCTAGGGGATTTGCTTAAAAATAAACAAAATGTATAATCACAGAGAAAACCTGTTTTCAGACTATTTAAACAGTACTACCAGGAATCATAGCCATTGTTTTCTATAGAACTGAATACCTAATGATTCTGCAGCACTGCCCTTGGTTTTCTCTATAAACAGATTATACCTTAATTGTTTCCCCTTATTTTCAAAGCTTTTTTCCCTTCTTTGCATGTATCAGTTTATATAAAATTCACACATATATTTTGATCTTCTGAGACATTCTGCTCTTGAAAAATGGCTTTACTTTATAAGACACCATTTCCCTGTCTTATTAGAATCTTACGATGTCAGAGCTTTCTTCATGGATATTAATTCTAATTGACGCAGCAGACAAGCCCCACAGTCACAGTGGCTTAACACGACAAAGAGTTATTCCTCGTTCATGCCAGGTTTGATGCAGCTCTCCTGTTTGCATCTCTCTCTCTTCCAAATGGTGACTCCTGGCCATGGGCTGCTTTCATTCCATGGTCGTATCATCTGAAACACGGGGCTTCTAATCCATCATGAAAAGAGAACAGAGAATGGAGGATTCTCTGTGGTGTTTTTAAGGGCCAGGCCTAAAAATGGCTTCCAGCCACATCCCAGGCATACAATCCTACCCAACTCCAAGGGGACTGGGATTGTGGAGGCTCTCACAAATGTTGATGAGCACTGCAGTCTCTGCAATACCTGCCTTCGTCATTTCAGCTGGTGCTTTCCTGTTGTCAAGAATGACCCACCGAAGGCAGAGAGTAGAACCTTACCAATGTATTGCTTGTTCAGTTGGCTTTCTTTTTCTAGAAAATTGTATATGCCCAGTATTCTCCCTTGATCCTTTCATCTTGACCCCTTGCTGTCTCTTTTTAAGTCCAAGATAGTTTATCTCTTGTCCTTTTTTTTATAGTGTATTCCACTCTACATAGATAGAGAAATATGTTGATGTGCTGAAATGAGAGTTGTTTTGTCTTCATATGGCTGTTCACAAAGATGAAGCAAAAGTCATGTTTAAATGCGTTCAGCATTGTTTTTCTAGTTAATATTTCATTAAATTGTCTTTCATCTTCAAGCTAAACTTTTGGACGTGTTTAAAGCTACATTTAATTGTGTAATTTGTAAAACTCTGAATGCATCTGTGGGCTCTTTAATTCCACGTTGTGTATACTTGCAATTCTGATCTTTTAGCCTTTAAAGACTCGTGCATGTTTTCATAGTGCATAAAGCCATTTGTCTTGGATAAACTTTTTAACAGAGGAAGAATTTTTTTTTTTAATTCAATAAATTTTATTTAGAACTTGCATTCTCCAGACACTCTTCTGGAGCTTGTATAAACATTAATTCACTTTATCTTCATAACAAATCCATGAAGTACAAAAATTAAAGTCATTCAGCAAAAATAATAACAAATGATAAATTGGATAGTTTGAGGAAGTACCTAAGGTAATGTAGCTACTGAGTGATGGAGCTGAGGTTTAAACTGAGGCTCTAAAATCTTCTTTTAAGGCCCTTACCACATTGACTTCTGTGGAGCTCATATTTTAATCTTTGTGTTGTACAATATAAATCCTGCTGAGATTTGAAAGTTCATCATAAATGCTTTTAGAAAGTATTTGTTAATTAGTCTTAGTTTGATGTCTCACAAAAATGGAAAAGATCAACTTTTAAATAACTCAAATTAAAAGCATAGTCAAGGTAAATACCCAACTGGCAAAAATAAATGCATTGATGTAAAATTTTTTCATTTGGCTTTTTCAAGCTTTAACACAGTTATTTTTTCCAGTATTTTACAAACAAACATAAGCCTGATACAGATGTTAATTTTGATTTGCTGTTTTCTTCTTTAACTATAGACACTAACCACATTTAAAAATTAAATTGAAATATCAAAATTCATTTTAAAAGGTACACATGGCAGGATAACACTTTTCTGCCATCTTTGACTAATTAATTATGAATTATGTCATTTGCAGTTAGAAGTTTTAAGATTGAGTGTATGTGAGGAAGAATTCTTACTTTTATTATTTAATTTCAGGCTCTTGGCTTTCTTTATGCCTCTGGACTTGGTGTTAATTCAAGTCAGGCAAAGGTAATACTATTAAACCTTTACAGTTATCATTCAGATCTAAAAAGTATATGCTATGTTCAGTTATCTATCTTTTGTTCTTTCATAGGCCCTTGTATATTATACTTTTGGAGCTCTTGGGGGCAATCTAATAGCCCACATGGTTTTGGTAAGTACAACTTCAGTGGAAGACTAATAATATTAAGTAGCAGAAGAATTTGTGGTGTCCAGTGGCCACAAATTTTTCAGCACTCATAATTGAAATTTGCTTACATTAATTAAGACCAAACATTTAGTTGACCATCCCTCAAATTATTGTTAATGGATGTAATAACTTGAATCTACATATGAATGAAAATTGGTGGCACCCACAGTTTTTGTTTAAACTGATTAGTTTGACTGATTGCCCTTAAAAATAGAGATCTGATAAATGGTTCTTCTTTGTTTTCTGTGTTGGAATCATTTGTCAAAAATCGTTTGTTCAATTGGATTAGCGTAGATTTTATTTTTAAAAATTGTGTTTATAATCAACACATAATTGTATATGTTTGTAGGGTACAGCGTGATGTTTCTATACACGTGTATATTGTATACTGATCAAATCAGGGTAGTTAGCATGTCCGTCCCGCAAACCTTGCATTTCTTTGTGGTAATAACTTTCAAGATCTTCTTTTCTAGCTCTCTTGAAATATATAATACATTGTTATTAGGTGTTAGCTATAGTCACCCTACTATGCTAGAATGCCAGCATTTACTCTTTCCATCTAACTATAATTTGTTCCTGTTGGATTATAATAGGTTTTACATTTAAATTGATGAAGGACTTGCTATACAAATAACTCTTTCCTATAAAAGACATCGAAGTGTATCTCTTATATGTTACCCAATAGCATTAATTGCTTAAATAGCTTAGTGGTAAATAGAGAGTTGTTCCACCAAATTCTTTTTCTGCTGAAATGTTTAATCTGCCTTCTGGTTTATAAACTAATTTTGGGTAAATCACTTGACCCAAGTTACCATGTTTCATATGAATATGTTAAATTCATTTTGCAAGAATGTAAAGAATAGAGTGGAAAGGAGACTAAAAGCAGAAAAAACAGTCCACAGTCTGGAAAGGACTTACAAGCTTGGTCATTGATGGGCTGTGAGACTTGATAAAGAAGAGAAATCTCGTTTTTTGACCAACTGAGTAGATCCTAGATAATTTTACCCATTATATTAAAATATATATATGTTGAGTTTTTCACCCTCAACACACTTTTAACTTAAAGGAGACATAAGTAAGGAGACCATCTGGAGTGTAGCATAAGAATGTTAAGGAACACTGAGATTAGAAGGGAGGGAGATTTAAGGAGATACAGCACTTCTGGGGGAAAGAAGCAACTGAAGTGAGTTTTTGAGGGATAAATAATGAATGAGTGAAAGAAGCAGAAGGGTTCTCAGGCAGCAGGAGAAATAAATGCAGAGGGATCGTGACAGGGACAGGAGAGAATGTGGTGTTTACGAGAAAACACAAGCACGTTCATGTGGCTGGAGAGAATGCCAGGCAGGTCATAAGCTGTGCGGGTCAATGGGACTCAGAGGAGCTTGGACTTTGTCTTGTTACAGGGGTGAATTTTTTGTTTTGAGCTGGAGCCCTTTTCTGTCTTCCAGGCTGCAATGCGGTGGCACGCTCATGGCCACCACAGCCTCGACCTGCTGGACTGAGATGATCCTTCCCCCTTAGCCTTCCAAGTAGCTGAAACTACAGGCATGAGCCACCATGCCCAGCTAATTTTTTTTATTTATTGTTGAGACAAGTTCTCACCAAGTTGACCAGGTTGGTCTCAAACCCCTGGACTCAGGCAATCCTCTCACCTCAGCCTCCCAAAGTTCTGGGATTACAGATTTGAGCCACCATGCCCTGCACGAGGGTGAATTTTTTAAAATTCTGTTTACTAATCTTCATAAGTGGTGGCTACAGAATAAGAACAAGAAATATTAGAGATGTTATCATGCGATTATGTCCTAAGGATTGTTAAAGCTTATGAAGTTATTTATCTGTGTAGAATGACTCCAGAAAGCTCCATTTTCTGTTTCCTGCTCTTTATAATTAGCTATCTTCCCACTTATTCTAAAGTCTCATATGGTTAATAATATGGTGCCTGCTTCCAGTAGTTTCATTTTCCCTATTTTGCCCATTTCATGATGGATGATTTATGAGTGCACCTGCAGCATGTCGCACTAAGTGTTCAGCAGTTTTTGGCCAAAAATGGTATGATTCCCATGCCCCAGCCTCCTTATTCACCTAACTTCACTCCGAGCACCATTTTTTGTTTCCCTGATGAAGAAAGTTCTCAACAGGAAACATTTTGCTGATGTGAAACAAAAACTGGCAGAAGCACTAAAAGGCATCAAAATTGACAAGTTCAAAAACTATTTTAAGCAGAGGAAAAGCGTCTCTCAAATGGAGAGTACTTTGTGACTGAAGTTTGAGTATGTAAGAATAAATACACAATTTTTTATAAATAAATTCTGGGTTTTGGGAGGGTTCCCCCCTTTTTTTCCTATTTGTTAGCTGTGGTCTGCTTGTTGAAGGTGCTGAATAAGTTACTTCAGAATGTGAAACTCAGGATTAATGAAGTGTACTTGGATCAAAGGACAGCAAAATTTACATTCTCTGAGTATGGGTAGCCATATTTGTTCTAAGAATGGGGCCATAGAAGCTTATGAAGCTGCTGTCTCCTCACCTGAAGTTGTTTTTCAGGGTTACCGATACTGGGCTGGCATTGGTGTCCTCCAGAGTTGTGAATCTGCGCTGACTCACTATCGTCTTGTTGCCAATCACGGTATCTGATCTTTCCCCATTACCTTTTAAAGAATTACCTTTTGCAGAATTAATTTTCAATAATTTATTTTTAATTGTAGTGTTTCAAATATTGTGAATGCCTCTCTTAAGTAGACTTATCTTTAGGTAGTAGATTAAGAACTACTTTTTTCTTTGGGTTCTACTTCTTAAATGTTTTGTGAAAAAAATTTGATTTATTAATAGATTACTATTTTGTGAACTATAGACTGCTATAGAAACAACTTCCTTTAATATTGTGTCTGTCAACATTTGGCAGCTGGACCTGTACTGCTCTCATGGGACAATTCTTCTGACTTTCCTCCATGTTATTATTTTATTCCTCAATTTCAGTTGCTAGTGATATCTCGCTAACAGGAGGCTCGGTAGTACAGAGAATTCGGCTGCCTGATGAAGTGGAAAATCCAGGAATGAACAGTGGGATGCTAGAAGAAGATTTGATTCAGTATTACCAGTTCCTAGCCGAAAAAGGTGATGTGCAAGCACAGGTATGTGTTTAAACATCTCAGGGACTATCTTAACTGCATTGTGTATCTTACTCTGGGGGGAGGGGAGCAAACCTTCTTCTCTGTAATGTTTTCATTGCTCTGAGCAATTATTACCTACATATTAGAATCACTGAGGACTATTTTAAACAATACCAATAGTCACAGACTCTCAAGAGATTTCATCTGGGCTTGATAGTGCCTAAAAACTGGCCAGGTGACTCTCCCTTGTGCCACAGTTGAGAACCACTGCTGGAGAGGAGCAGCATGAGGGCTTCTACTAGGGTCACCAAGGATGAAGACTCACTTTCTCTAAACAAGAAGACATTATGGAATATTTGGAATATCAGATGCTCTTCAGAGCTATTTGCTGGTCATATTTCTTTGGTTCATCTTAGATCATAATTTCAAGGTCAAGCTCAGAAGTAGGCTTAATGTAAATGATATGATGCCCATCAAAGTACCCTGTGTATGTGTGTGTGATAATAGTAAAAGAGCATCAACTTTTATCTTTCTTTTCTGTAAAATTGCAGTTATTTCTGATTTAGAATATATAGAGATGACCAATAAATACTTATTAAGAACAGTGGATTTTAAGACTAGCAGAAAGGAATCTTAAGTTAAAATAAACTATAGTGAAAGATCCAAATCTTAGCTGATGGAAGTCATAATAATGTTATGTTGCTCGATTAAACATTTTTTTTTACATTAATGATTTTAGTTTAAATTTCCTGTTTTGCTTGTTTTCTGTGTATCTTGCTTTTCCTTGTTTCCTTTTCTCTCCTTCCTCGCCCTCTTTTGGTTTGAGTGCCTTTTCCTCCTGCCTTTCCTTCCCTCTTCTGGTGTGACATTACTCTTTGGTGGCTCTCTAGAGGCCAAAGTATGCCTCAACTTGAGTCTAGTTTGAATGAGCACTTTTCCATTTTCAGGAAACACAGAGAGCTTAGAGTACTTTGTGGGCATTTTGATTGTACATATTTTTGAACCTCAGAAAATACTATTGATTGCATAGTATACATTAGATTTATTCACAAATTTACCTTTCCATTGCTCTTTATTTCTTACTGCATCTCCAAGCTTCTCAGATACTTTTTCTTCTGCCTGAAGAGGCCTCTTGAGTATATTCTTTAGAGTCAATTTGCTAGAGACAAATTTAGTTTTAGTTTGTTTGAAAATGCCTTTATTTCACCTCTATTTCAGAAGGGTACTTTATAACTAAAAGCATACATTTTTAGTTTTTAAAAATTTTAGGTTAATTAGAGTAATATTTTCAAGAGTTAAGACTGAATCTTTGATTTTATGGGTTATGAACAGAAACCTTTTTACAACTAAATGATTTCTTATGGTCTGATTTTAATGGCATACCAGAAGCTACCATTTACTTTTGCCTTTTTTTTGTTAATTTTCAGGTTGGTCTGGGACAACTGCATCTGCATGGAGGGCGTGGAGTAGAGCAAAATCATCAGGTAACTCCCCCGTCTAGGGCTTTGCACTTCACTTTATAGCAAGAAATGATGCTCCAGATGTATTTCGTGCTAAGTCAGTGCTAATAATCTAGCTTGTATTCTTTAAAACCCATAACAAATGGCTTTCAAGGTGTAACTAACTAAGCAGGAAACTGAGGAATAAAAACGTGAATGTACATCAGGGAGTGGAAAAGATTTTGTTAAGTCTAAAACCTAGTTCCGAATACAGCCTAAAAAAGTACACATGCAAGGTCTTGATTTTCTGCAAGTTGTGATAAAAGCATGCCTTAAAATGCCATTAGACAATATTTTCTAGAACTGTCAACTTTTATGCTGTCTGTGGGAAATTAGGATACACAGCTCTTGCAGTCTGATGTATTTGCAGTCACCATGTTTTGTCTGCTTTCTGCCCCACAGATCACTCATCTCCTCCCTTCTATCCATTTCTACACTTGTCACTGTGTGACTCGTCTGCTGCTGCCTCTTCTTAGCAGTATCCCAGCTCTTTAAACCACACATCTGATCATGTGTATCCCTTGCTTAAAACTCAAGTGGTCTAAGATTCCAGTAGTTTGAAAACCAGAACCTGTAACATGACCTTCTAGGCCGGTGACAGTCTCTGTTGACCTCACCAGCCTCCTGCTCTCGAAGTCACGGGCACATAGGCCTTTTCTCAGGTCTTTGGATATGTCAGAAACTCCTTGTGTCAGAACTTATGAAACACTAGTCCCTCTATCTAGAGTTACCCCACCTAGTTTCTTCGTGGAGCCAATTTCTACTCATGCTCCAGAACTCAGCTCCGGCCTGGAATATGTCTCCCCTGGCCCCTGAGCCCACTCTAGGAAAATGTCATGAACCACAGTTAGAATTTTTTAAAATCTGTATTCCTTGTGGCCCTTGTCCATTGTAAACTAATTAATTGTGTAATTAAGTTGTTTTCCCTGCTAGAATTTAAAGTCCAAAAGAGCATGGACCACATCTACCTTCAGTTGCCATTTTATTGCCAGCCTCTGGCAGTGTTCTCAATAAATGTTTGTCGGACTAATAAAACTCTATTTTTAAGTATTTGAGTTAAGTATTTAATACTGTATTATTTCAGTATTCTAAGTAAGATTATTTCATAGGCCCTATCCTATTATCCTTAAGAGCTAGATTATAACAATATGTACTCATCACAAAAACTTTATCAAATATCTATGGGTTTTTAAAAATTCAAATGGCTTTTGACAACTTTCATTGTCTTTAGGTCATAAAAACATGTGTAATTAGGCCAGTGAAGCATCATATAAGCTGGTTAATAAAAATGTCAGGTAAAAGAACAGAATTCTGAATACAAATTTGCGGGATACCTCTTATATAACCAGTTTGAGAATACTCTTAATATTATATGCTGCCTGGCTGAAAAGCAACTACACAATGATAAATTATTTTACCAGTTTCACAGAAGAAAAGAGTTCCCACTACATGATTGCATTAATTCAGCAAATACTTTAGTACCTACCAGTGCCATTCTCTGCTGAACATTCAGGATTCAATACTGGACAAAATTGTCTTTGTCCTTTTGGAGTTTCAAGTTTAATAGAGCATTAGATATCTTCTAAGTGACCATACCAACAAATACTAAATAAATTGTGATTATTTCTACAAAGAGAATTAAAGAATATAATGATTGGCTCACGGTGAGAGATACCAGTTGTCAGGGAAGACTTCTTTAAGGAGAAGTGGATGACATTTAAGTTGACACTGGAGGGAAGGCCATTCCAGGCCAAAAAGATCAGTACAGTATGTGCATAGGCCCAGAGACAGGAAGGAACATGGCTGGTCTGCCCATAGCGCACCAAGCAAGATGAAACAGAGCTGAATTCAGCAGTGCCTGATCACTTCAGTGTATCCCTGCCACACTTCAAGGGGTGACAAGTATCAGCATGTTCAGACTTAAAAACAAAGGCTTTGGCTGCCGTGTAGGGAATAAATTCGAAGACCCCAAGAATAAAAGCAAGGAGATCAGAGAGAGAGGTATTCCAGAAGTTCAGGTGAGAGATAATGTGTGTTGGACTAGAACTGCAATAATGGAAGCTAGCAGATAGAGCCAAGGTGTGTTTGATGGTGGACGCAACAGGACTTAATGACGAACTGGATATGAGAATACATGGGTCGGGTCCCTTGAGCTACCAGTAGTTGGTATTGCCATTTACTTAAGCAGGGATGCTGGAGGAAAAGCAAGTTGGGGTAAGGAGAGAAGATTTCAGATGTATATTCAAGCATCTGATGGTGTTCAAAGGTAGTAGACTGGTTGGGAACTGAAACATAAATGTAGGAGTTGCCATCATCCAGGTGGTATATGAAACCTTGGGAACAGGTAAGATTACGTAGAGAATGTAAAGTGAAATGGAGTCTAAAATTGAGCCCTGAGGAGCTTTAATGTTTAGAAGTAGTAGAATAAAAATAATCAGCAAAGAAGACCTAGATGGTACAGGTAGAGAGTCAGGAAGGTAACCAGGAGAGAGTGACACCTAAGCCAAGCTAAGGGACTTTCAGGAAGGAAGGTGTGGTAGACTGTGCCAAAGTCCCCAGAGATAGACAGAGTGAGGTGAGAGAAAACTTTTATTGGCAATATGAAGGTCATTAGTGGCCTTGCCGAGCTGTCTTTTTGAAGTTATGTGTATAGAAGCCAATTAAAACCGGAATATAGAGTGAATTGGAGTGCATGTAGCCAACTCACTTGAGAAGCTTGACTGTGAAGGAAAGTAGCCAACAGGTAAGTCATCACTGGAGAGAAACTGAGGGTCTAAAGGAGAGATGCGTCTTATGTGTTTTGGTTTAAGTTTATTTTTTTCTTTTTTTGAGTTGGAGTCTCACTGTGTCACCTAGGCTGGAATGCAGTGGCACGCTTATGGCCACCACAGCCTCAACCTGCTAGGCTCAGACAATCCTTCTGCCTCAGCCTTCCAAGTAGCTGTAACTACGGTGCATGCTACCACGCCTGGCTTATTTTTTTATTTGTTGTAGAAACGAGTTCTCACCAAGTCTTGAACCCCTGAGCTCAGGCAGTCCTCTCGCCTCGGCCTCCTAAAGTTCTGGGATTATAGGCGTGAGCCACTGCACCCGGTCTAAGTTTTATTTTTTAATAACAGCAGATTTCAGAATGTGTTTGAAGGGAAAATGTTCTGAAAGAGATGTTAAATCAGCAAGGGAAAGAAGCAATAACCAACAGTGTGCCATCCTTAGCAAAGATGGGCACAGTACAGGTGAAAGTGGGGAGAGTGAATTTCTACTGATGCCATTGTGTTTAGTGGTGTGATTTTTTTAATCCGAATCAAGAATTTTTCTCTACATAGTAGAAAAGAAGATTGTATTCCTTTAGACACCTATGAAAATATGCTCCATGCCTTGGAAAGAATTCTTCATTTTTCCTTTCTCCCAGTTTACCAGTAGAGAGGTAGATAGAAGTTGTTGAACTGCTGTTAGGTATATTTTAAGTAACCTGATAACTCACTTGGCCTGTAAATAAAAGGCTCTTATCCCATGGAACACAAGAGATGTCTTTGCGTCTATAACCATGAAATGATTAAATGATAAATGTACCTTGATACAGCTATTTGGCAAAATAAAACTTCTGAATGTACTTGTTTATGAAATGTTGTTAACTGGGCATTCTTGTTTTTAAAGTCACTGCCATATAGCAAATTTAAATGTTTCTGAAATCACTATTTTGGCTAAAATCCAAGGGCAGATTCTTTTAAGAACTAATTATTTTAATAAATTATTTTCTCACAGAGAGCATTTGACTACTTCAATTTAGCAGCGAATGCTGGCAATTCACATGCTATGGCCTTCTTGGGAAAGGTACTGTACATCCTTTGAACTTATTGTGTCATAGCAAGAGGCATTGCGTAGTGAGCATATGTTGTATTCAGGATCTACAATTTACCAAAAATCAATTGGAAATAAACTTTCCAGGGCAAGGATATTATATCTTGTCTTAAAGTAAGTGCTATTCTGAGGCATTTTCTTAGGCAACTTAACATAGCCTTTGCTTATAGTATGTAATTCCCCATTGAAAATAGCTATCACTGTTTGAGCTCCTCTTTGTATGTATTATATGCAATAATGAGGAATTTATTCTTGATGCCATGCAGTTTTTTGCAAAGACTGTCACAATTGCTTGTTTCTTTCCATGCTGAATAATGGCAGTTAGAGTTTGTTAAAATTGATCTGCAGACTGTTTAATTGTCTTAAATATGATTACCATGACCCAACTCTCAATGTAGTTTTCTCAAGCACAGAAACATTTAAGTCTAGAGACTTAATTTCATGTGTCAGTAGTAAAGATTTCATGTGTTATGGAAGAATCTCACAGCTTCCTTTATCATTATTTTGAAAAACAAGACAATGTGAGTCAATGGCTGTTTTCATCGATAACCAAATCCTAAAGTAGGGAAGTTCAGATAGAATATATCTCAAAAGTGTTTACAAATAGGAAAATCTGATTCGTATTTGCCACATGATCACAGCTAGTTAATTGGGGCCTGCTAACTTTATGTTCAACACTTTGTCCACCTCTGAGGGAACATCATAAATCTAGCAAACCACTCTGATGTCCCTTCTCAGGGGTCATAAAGAGATTGCTGGTGATTATATAGGACAAACTCTTGCAAACTCACATTTTTCAAAAATTTTTCAAAAACTTCCTTGAAGTTTTCTATTCAAATTGTACCAAAAAAGCAAATAAAGAGGTATGTAGACCAAAAGATACATAAACAAAAATATCAGCTGGCATCATGTAGAAAGAGAATGTGTGAAGTGCTTTCACAGTGGTGCTGACACTTCTTTGTAACAGAAGGTAGTGATAAAGAGCATTTGTATAAGAAAGACAGCTGTGGATATACCATTTGTATTGTGTGGCATAACTTGAAAGGGTAGATAAGCAAATTACTGTAGCCTTAAAATAAAGAGACTTTCAAAACTGAAGTGTCAGATGGCACAGATCAAATATATCTATCTGCACTAAATTGGAAAAGTAAAATTGAAAAATATTCTTTTGATAAATTTCATTTTGTGATTTCATAATTAATAATTAGAATTTTTATTCATTTCTTTAGTTTGCAGAACAATAGCAAAACAAAAAGACAAAAGTGAGAGGTATAATATAAGCAGTGGCAAAGATAAGTTAGATTTAGTCTTTTATATAGATAAATTAGAAAAAACAAAATTGATGTGGAAGAAAACAATAGTAGTGATCGTGATATCATCCCACTAAGAAGAAAATGGGCAAATGTAATAGAAAGTGATAGTGATGGAAGTGTTAGTAATTTCGAAGAAGTAGAAGACAACAGATTGTCATGTGAAGAATGGGAAGATGTTACAGAAAAAAACTATCCTCCAGTAAGAATAAATTTTGTTTTACATCCTCAAACAAAAGGACCACAAATAGAAAGTAGTATAAGGGAACTAATCGACTATTTTCTCTGTCTTTTACAAATGAATTAGTGGATAGTGTAATAAAAGAAACAAATCTTTATGTGGATGAAAAAAATAAGAAAAAAGCAGCTATCACACAAATCGATTTGGTATAAGTGGCTTGATGTTGATTGACATGAATTTTTAGCTGTTATCACACTTATCCTAAATATAGGGGTAATTCTCTTACCAAATTTGCAAGAATACTGGTCAACTGCTTTCAATAGCAAAAAAAAAAAAAAAATACTCTTTTTTTTTGGAAACAGTCAGTAGAGAAAGATTTATGCAAATATCTGGATGCTTCATTTGAAGACACCTGGGTTGAGTGATAGGACCATCAGAACTCATATTCAAAAGGCCAGTAATTATTTGGAGTACATCGATCCAAATTTTCACATTATTTCATACCAGATCAGGCAATTTGTGTTGACGAATCTGTTGTTCAATGTAAAGGGTGAATATCACTTATAACATACAATCCAAGTAAGCCTACCAAATGGGGTATGCATATTTATGCACTAGCTGATTCAAAAACAGGGTATCTTTTTTTCAGTACTTCCCTATTATGGCAGCATAACATCTGAAAACATCATTGAACTTGATCTTCCAGTAAGCACCAGAATTCCATTACATTTGCATAATACATACATTTATATAATGCAGGATACCACATATTTACTGACAGATATTACATTAGTATTGTCTTAACAGAAGAGCTACTAAAAATGAAATGTCATCTTACTAGTACAAAGTCAATCAAAAAGCTAATTTTTAATGAAAAAAAGCAGTAGCATATAGGAAAAATGATCATACATTTATTGTGTGGAAGGACAGAAGGAATTGTTACAATTCTGAGCACTTAGAATCATTCGGGAATGAAATCTATTATGAGGATATTATGTAGTGGAAATATTATATAAGTCAAAAAGCCTGAAATGATTCCAAATTATATTGCAAATATGAGTAGTTTAGATCATGTGGACCAATATGCTTCTACATAGTTGATTTTCATGAAAATCTTTAAAATGGTAGAGGAAATTACTTTTCTAGGGACTAGAAATATGTATTATTAACTCCATATGCTATGTCAAGCATTAAAAAGAAAAATGAAAAACTCTTTGTCCCATTTGAAACTTGTCAAGCTTCTGATCAATTAGTTGGAAAGTGGGTTTTGGTGTGTGTCCTTCCACTTTGTCTTCAAACGACAGACTGGACAAGAAATGACATGTTGCTAATGTGGGAGGAAGAAAATGAGACTGCATTGTCTGCTCAAATAGAAAAATTTCAGGTGGAAGACATCAAACAAATTACTATTGCACATGTATCAATGAGCCTGCAATGCATGTTAGTGGCTATTTCACATGTTATTATACATTAGAAAAATATTTCGTTGTGACCAGAGTACAAGAAAGGAGACGCCAACATGCAGAGAGTCAGATTACAAGTCCTTTATTTAAGCCGGTGACTGAGAGAAGCTATTGCCATAAAAGCTCTCAGCCCTGAACAGATTGAGCAGGGGGTATATAAAGGCAGGAATTATATAAGCTGTACCGTTTGATTTATATCTTCTTGGCACAATATTTGGTTGTGAAAGGGTATAGCTAGCTACGGATTTTGCAACTAGGGAGTTTCCAAGCATCAAGGGGTACAAGAATATGGGTGTGCAGTATGATTATGGGAAAGTTACATAAGGGGGTTATTTCTAGGTTAAGATGGAAGATTTGTTACAAAATGGAGTACTTATGTTAAGCAAGCTATTACAGGCTATTATAGGTTTTGCAGATAGATATTTTATTTTATTTACTGTTTATTTAACATGTCCGTGATAAAAAAAGTATGGACAAAGGCAGCATTGGCCATTCTGTTCTCCTTTCTCTTGGCCCTTTATCATGTTTCATACCTGATACTCTAATTGTTCAGTGTTTATAACCTTTCAAAGTAACCTTTCAGTTTTGGGGGTTTATTTTTTTCCTGCACTTAAGACCCATTCTTTATGCTAGCTCCCCCTTTCCTGATTTAATCACTGATCTGATTCGATCAGCTTATTAACCATTTGACTGCTCTGGGATAGAGTGAGAAAAAAGATTCTTCTTGAGGTTAAAGATTTCTTCTCTTGAGCCTGATCCATGAACTGATTTTATGTATTCATGTTTACAGATGTCATAAATTTGATATGGCATCTAATATATAATAATATTAAAATGTTTGCTCTGAAAGTTTTCTTTGAATTCAGAAATATCCTGTGGAAAATTCTAAACTTTGTGGAAAGACTTCATGTGATGTTACAAAAACCAAAATGAAATGAGATTGGAGAAAAATGTCATTGGAGAGAGAGTTACAGCTCTTAATGAAATTGGGATCTATTTTCCAGATGTATTCGGAGGGAAGTGATATTGTACCTCAGAGTAATGAGACAGCACTTCACTACTTTAAGAAGGCTGCTGACATGGTAAGACTTGCAGTGTGCACTGTAACACTAATATTTTAATAAATCAATTTGTTATGTTGAAACATTAATCATAAACAACTCATGCCATAAATTATTGAAGGTGCTTCCATAAATATGGTTCCTGTGAGTTTATTGACTAGATAAATCCTTCTCAATAAAAAGCGATTTTTTAAGGATCAGATTATAAAATATTAACTATCAGTTTAAATTTCATCAAGAAGTTTCCTAATCAGGGAAATATTGATTTTTAGTAATGGAAGTGGGAGTTATATAATCTAGTTATATTGCAACTTGAAGTTTTAATGCTTATATAATTGAATACTTTAATAATTATAATACATAATTTAGACTTTCTTTGGCCCAGAAAAAACTGCATGTGTACACGAAGACCTTGTATACCTTCAGAATGTACACTTACCTCTAGGGCAGCTGCATGTTACTCTAGTTCCAAATGTCACTTGAGTGCTTCCCAAGGGAGCACAGTGACATGTTTTTAAAGATGTCTTCTATTCCTCTCAATTTAAGTGAATTCTAGAGTTTTCTCTTTTTGGTCTCAAAACTGTAATTGTCTTTGCTCCATGGCACTCTAGTAACCTTAAGTGTATCTTTGTCACTTGGTAGCAGTATTGCTTTTATGATATTGTGTTGTTATTACGAGATATTCCATGATGTCTTCCCACTTTATTGGGGTAAGAGATTACCAGTGAAAAACTACAAACAAAAATGTGACTTGCTGTTAATTTTGATGAAATATGTTAGTCATGTTATATCATAAATTCATGATACAGGTGATCCTGAGGTAAGTCACCAAAATTTAGTTCTAAATGAATTTGCTATTTACTCTTTTTCAGAAAATTACCAAAAGCCCTCAAATGTCTAAAAAAAAAATCAGTATTACATTTAGTCTGATGGGAAGAAGAAAGTATTGTTTCAAATTGAAAAGTATGAAGACACTTTTTTTTTTTGAGTTGGGGTCTCACTCTGTCACTTAGGCTGAAGTGCACATTGCACGACCACAGCTCACCTCCGGCTCAAACTCCTTGGCTCAGGAGATCCTCCCGCCTCAGCCTCTCAAGTAGCTGGGACTACAAGCGCATGCCACCACACCCAGCTAATTATTTAATTTTCTGTAAAGATGAGGTCTAGCTATGTTGCCTGGGCTGGTCTCTAACTCCCAGCCTCAAGCAGTCCTCCCATTTCCCAAAGTACAGGGATTATAGGTGTCAGCCACGACACCTGGCTGAAGACATGTTTTGAATATGTTGGTAAATCATTTATTCTTGCCTGTTTTATTTATCTCACAATCTCTTTATTGATATTCTTGCCTACTTTTTAATGAATTCTTTTTACTCTTACCTGATTTCTCTGCTTTGCAGGGCAACCCAGTTGGACAGAGTGGGCTTGGAATGGCCTACCTCTATGGGAGAGGAGTTCAAGTTGTAAGTGTTCAGTCTCACATTCTGACTTGAATAAGTGGTCAGCTGGAGAGGTTGGGAGGTGTTTCTTAAGTAGCATCTGGTCAGCCCAGGTAACCAAAATTGTAACCGATGCTGAACCTTTTACTGTTGTCTCTGGGTTTGTCTCACTACCAGCCCACACCCTACTCAACTGTCTTGTGATGACAATTCTGTTTCTGGCACCTTCTCCTGAAGGTGTGGAGCCTTTTCATCCTCTCATCCATGCTCTCCATCCATGCTCTCTCCCCTGCCTCCTCCTCCCTTGTCTCAGGACTTACACATCCCCCTACCTACTTTAATCAAGCCTAAGAAATGCTTTAAGTTCCTCCCATTTAGGAGACGGAAAGCTTTCTGTCTTTCCTGCCCTTGCTCTTTCTGGCTACCACCTGTCTTCTCCTCAGCCCTTCTCTGCAAAGCCAAACTACACTGCTGCCTTTCACTCTTGAATTCTGAGCAGTCAGGCACTGCCTCGTGGAACTGCTGGCTCTGTACAATCACCAGTAACTTCCTGTCACTCCACTTGCCTTGTTTTGATTCTCCCTCACTTGAACTCTCTTCATTGGATCTGTGACTGAAGACTCTCTTGGTTCTGCTCAGCCGTTGTGTCTCATTCTTCTGTTCCTCATGTTGGATGTCCTTAGATTTGTGTTGCTGTTCTCGTCTCTGTGATCTTTCCAAGCAATACATTCTTTTAATTCAAGCTTGAGACAAAGAGCTAGCTTTGAGAGTCTAATCTCTAACACAAAAGAGAGTAAAGTGGTCTCATTTTGATTCTTTCTTGTTACTTTAGGTTACCAATATTTGGTAGTAATCTTTATTTTAATCTTTTTTTGAAATCTAATAATCATATAGTGTTTGATAAGGTATACAGGGAAGGAGTGAGTAAGGACAGAATAATTTTCCTTATTTAATATTAGAAAGATTGAGGCTTAAAAAGGATTGATAGGTTAGTATAAAAGATTGATCGTTTCTTAGTTCCTGATCTGTTGTTCTACTGTTTATCCGCTTTAAGAGTGTATATAAATTGTTTTACAAAAACTATTTGCTCTTCTTCACAGTCATAAATATCAATCCCCCTATGACTTAATCTGCATATTATAACAGAAGTAGTCTTTTTAAGGACTCTTCAGGAGAGTTTTATGTGTGCTTTGTTCATTCCTTTTGGTGAATGAATCTCCTGACATCTGAGTATATGTCAGCCTTTTGAGCTGTCTCATAATATGACATCTTTTTCTACAGAATTATGATCTGGCGCTAAAATATTTCCAGAAAGCAGCTGAACAAGGCTGGGTGGACGGGCAACTGCAGCTCGGTTCTATGTACTACAGTGAGTAACGCTGGAATGAAGGGTGGCACGCCAGGAGCTAGATCCACCAGTCTTCCACTAGATGGCGCTGTGGTGTGGACACAGGAGCTTTCCAGTTCTGTAATGTTCTCCAGTTCCATGATATGTGCATCTTGTTTTTTATTACAAATTATATTAATCTGTGTCAATATGTTAATTTGTATTTGTCAGATTCACATATTTACTCAGTAAGAATTCTGACTTTCATTAGAGTTTTACTTCTCATATGTAAAGCTCCTCTGGTGCTTAACTCTTATTTAAGTCTGTCTTGTTTTTGTCTGTTATTCTTATTTTTGTCTGTCTTCTTACAGATGGCATCGGAGTCAAGAGAGATTATAAACAGGCCTTGAAGTATTTTAATTTAGCTTCTCAGGGAGGCCATATCTTGGCTTTCTATAACCTTGCGCAGATGCATGCCAGCGGCACAGGTGTGATGCGATCATGCCACACTGCGGTGGAGGTGAGGTCTTTTCTCCCAACTTGTTTATTGGAATTGATTTGCCCAGTAGGAAGGGCTGCCCATTGAGTGCTGGTCTTCTTTGCCTCATTTCTTCTACTGTAGAAATAGACTCAGCCACCTGGCACTGATATAGTAAGGACGACTCCGGGTGTAACTCCTGATTTATTTAGTCTGTCTCTCCCTATTAGTATCACCATTTATAAGGGCACATAGCACCAGGGCAGTATCTGATACATAGTCAGCCTCAAAAAGTGCATGTTGGGTGAATGCTCCAAGGTCTCCTCACTGGAAATTTTCCTCTTCAGCTCTCAGGCCTGGCACTTCAAAGTGATGCTGATGAATGCTTAGCAAAGTTTTTAAATCTCTGTGTACTGTAGTTAACTCACTTGTAAAATGGGGCTGTTAATAGGACTTACCTCATAGGGTGGTCCCTCTTACTGAGGGATTAAGTATGCTAATATACAAAAATCATTAGAACAGTGCCTGACCAGAGTAGATGATATGTAATTCTGTGCTGTTATGTTCTATAAGCCTGTTGACTTCCAGAGAGTAAGTGAAAGTTCCAAATAAATATGCCAAACTTTATGTATATTTAACAAAGCTTCTAAAAATGTAGAGAGCAAGCTTAACAGTCACTTGTAGCCAAAGTGCGTATCTTTCCTGGTTTTTTATTTATTTCTTTTCTTCCTCTCCTCGCAGTTGTTTAAGAATGTGTGTGAACGAGGCCGTTGGTCTGAGAGGCTTATGACCGCCTATAGCAGCTACAAAGATGGCGATTACAATGCTGCAGTGACCCAGTACCTCTTACTGGCTGAACAAGGCTATGAAGTGGCCCAAAGCAATGCAGCCTTCATTCTTGATCAGAGTAAGGTTCATTTAGTCTTGCCTCAGGGTTAGGATACAAGAGCTCACATCAAGTTAGCCTGTTTACAAAGAAAAGCCACCAAGTAACATTCTTTATAGGTTTAAATGGACCTTAACACAGGTGCTGAAGTTACTTCACCTTAGCCATCAAAATTAGTTTTATAACCAGAGTGATAGTAGAAATGGATTTGACATTCAAAATAAGTGCTTTCCATAAATATATTTTTCAATTACAGTGGATACAAAAACACTATACAGATCCCTAGACGTGACTCCTTAATGAGTCTCATTATTGGTTCTACAGATAAAACATGTTTCACGAAGTAGTGCCCTCCTAAATCCAGTGATTCCTGTGAATTGTATCCCAATATTTGTTTAATTTCAATACTTGTTTAAGACTTACTATATCCTAATTCTTGCTTAAGTTATGCACAGATTCTCCCTACTTTGCAATGGAAGCCTAAGATCTAGTGCCTTTCCTTAAACGCCTAATTCATATCTTGTCTCTCTTCCTATAGGAGAAGCAACCATCGTAGGTGAGAATGAAACGTATCCCAGAGCTTTGCTACATTGGAACAGGGCTGCCTCTCAAGGTGAGTGGTTAATTCTAGGATGAGCATTTCACCTAGGGACCGCTCTATCTTATTTATCTCCCGAGAACCTGAAGTCACGACATTCATCACATTTAAATTAGTCAGAGATACTATTACTTAACTTGTTTCCGTACTATCGGTGTTTATCCTTAAAATGGAAGTTCTAGTGCCAAGATTTCAAATTGGATTGTGAAGTCTTTGTACTGAACGAACTAGAAATCGTCGAGCTGTGATTTGCTCGTTAGTTTATAGTTTAAGGCTAGTATGTTGTATAAAATGGAACTTTAGTAGAATATATAATAGAATATTAGCCTAAAACACAAAAGAATGTCACTTTTCCTCAGTCTTTTTATTTTGAATTTTTTTGCACACATACTTTTCTCAACATTGTCTGCCTATCCCTTCTCCAGCCTAAACAGTGGACAGGTTGAACTGTTTTAAAATGAAAATAACATGATAAAATAGAGCATGATCCTTCGAAGAGGAGTGTTTGTGAAAGAGGGAGTGCAGCATTTCCCTTATCTGTAACATTTGGACCAGGACTGTTTTGGGATTTGGATTTTTTTGTATTTGAAATATTCATATACATAATGGTTGAACATCCAGAAATCTGATACCTAAAATGCTCCAGTGATCATTTCCTTTGAGCATGACCTTTGAGGATCAGATTTCAGCTTTTGTAGCATTTCAAATTTTCCATTAGGGATGCTCTGCCTATAACCCCACCTGGTTTAATTCCTCCCTGGCTATTCCAAAGCCTTCTGCAGAAGAGTGACACCTCTAGTTTAAATTTTTACTGTACTGCAAATTAAAATGCTTTGTTTTATATAAGCATGTTAACAGGAGGAGAAATAACAGTTTGGTCTGTTTTAAACATATTTTATGTTTAAACAAACAATTTGCATTTCACTTTCATTTTAGGCTATACTGTGGCTAGAATTAAGCTTGGAGATTACCATTTCTATGGATTTGGCACTGATGTAGATTATGAGACTGCATTTATTCATTACCGTCTGGCTTCTGAGCAACAACACAGTGCACAGGCTATGTTTAACCTGGGGTATATGCACGAGAAAGGACTGGGCATTAAACAGGTCAGTGTGGCTTCAGAACAGATATCTGAATGGTATAATTGTGATTGGAGGAAATGCCTGTATTTATATAGAAAGTAGACTTCCGTTGAAATTCAGATTTTAGGCCAATAAATGACAAGCCTAGAGTTGGTGATATTCCAGAAGATTGCCCTTTCCCCTCTCATCCTGAAACACACGAAAGCCACATGGTTGTATTTGTCTTGAGCCAAACTCTGTTATTGCTACATTATTTTGAAGTGAATTAAATGTTTCCTACTGATAAACGTATTTCTAAATCTTATACCTTCATAGTGAAGCCTAACGTTCTCGTCTAGACCCTGGTCTTAAGGCTCTGCCTGTGTACCTTTAAAAGAATTTTGAAAAACTGTGTACCCCCTTGTGCATTTTTAAATTGGCATTTTACATTTTTCTTAAGTTTAAGAAGGTCTAAATTCTAGGTATTTTAACATTTTTTTAAATAAAATTATTAAATTACTCTTAAAATATCCAATAGAATTTAAATTAAAAAATAATTTGATGACTACCATTATTGATTTTTTTTTTTTTTTTTTGAGTTGAAATCTCACTCTGTCACCCAGGCCAGAATACAGTGGCACGTTTATGGCCACTGCAGCCTTGACCTGCTGGGTTCAAGCAATCCTTCCACCTCAGCCTTCCAAGTAGCTGGAAGTACAGACGCGTGCTACCACACCTGGCTTATTTTTTTATTTATCGTAGAGACAAGGTCTCACCAAGTTGGCCCCAGGCTGGTCTCAAATCCCTGAGCTCAGGCAGTCCTCTTGCCTGGACTTCCCAAAGTGCTGGATTACAGGCCAAGCCACCGCGCCTGGCCCATTATTGATTTTTTAAAAATATGCAAGCAAGTTCTTTAATTGAAAATTATATCTTTTCCTTGTCTCCCTAAATTTATATTTATAGCCACTACTTCAATAGAATTGTATACTAATGTATTGTTTTTAAAGTGTAGGTATTTTATGATTACTCTGTCATTCCTATCTGACACAAACACATATATAAATTAATTTTCAATTTTAATACCTGTGCTCTAAGTGTTAAGAAAAATTCATGCAGTATTACTAGTCACAGTTGGTCAGTTCTTAATACATTCTTGGTCAAATCTACAAAATGATAATATATTTTGATAAAATTTTATTTTTTGTGCTATTAATTGCAAATGCATATTTTAATGAGATAAATGGGTCATTTTTTAGAATTAGTTGATCACTGAGTGGATTTAGCATTAATTCTGGTTTTTTTTTCTGGCTTTCATTTTTAAAAACGTATAACTATGACTTGAGCCTTGTTCACATAAGTATATGGAAATGGGAAGAATTTTATTATTGCATAGTTACTTAAGTCTTTAAACCACTTTAGAGTTATAAGCCAAAAGTGAGAGTGCTTTGTCATTCGACATTGCTTTTAATGATCTGTCTGCTGACTGTTTCATTAGTTCTCCCTCAGTTGTGTTGAAAGCAAAGAATTAGAATCCAGAGACTTGCCCCTGACACTGAAACTTTCCACTTTCTCAGTTTCAGGGAGGGATGCTGAAAAGACTTTATCACAACTCAGGCAATGACTAGTAATTTGACCCCTTCCTGTGTCACTTAGAGGTACTTTGTGGACCTCATGTGCTTAAGGGTTGAGGAAAAGTTGTTCATTTCATTTTGCTGATGTACTATTTTTTGACAAAATGCTTCTCCTTTGCTCACATTTATATCTTTTAATTTCAATATGTAAATGTTTATATTTTAAACTTAATATTTCGACTATTTGGAATATTAATTATTAATATTTGATACTTACAAGATTCTAGAGCTACAAACTCAGTACATAATTTCTGGAAGATCTCTGCCACATAACATGGTAATTGAAGCCTCTCCTCAATTGTCAAACAAGTCAGCCAAGTCAGACTTAGGTTCTGTCCGAAAGGCTGACTTTATTTTTTAATACAAGTAAAGTTTAATGTGTTTGATTACTAATATGAAGATGACATATAAGTTATGGTATTTATGGGGTACATCTAGTAATAATTTACAGAAAGTAGTCAGGATTTAAATGATATAACTAACAATTTGTTTTTATAATAAATTATAAAACAAAATTAATATGCTCTTCTAATGTGCAATATAATATATAACTAATATGAATTCTTGTGAATAAAGAATATGATAAAAGGCATCATTTTTTTTTAACTAGGATTTATTAAGAAGACAGAAAAGCTTCCAAACAGGAGGGGGCTTGAAAGAGGGTTGCCCAGCACAATATTTTTTATAAGCAGTAGAGGAGAGAACTTGTGTTCAGCTTTTGAGAATAAATGATCATGTATAAAAACTGGAATAACCTCATTCATTTTTATAAGACATGATCACCTTTTACTAGTTTTTCCCTATTTTTTGAATGAAAGACATTAATATTGCTAAAAACTAATCAATCTTGTCATCTACTATAGCTAGGAAAATAGAAAATATTAAATATGAGGATTGGCTATAATCAGAAAAAATAATTTATGCTGTTACTTGATGTTTTAATTATCTTACTGAATCTGTTTAATTATCCTAGTAAATCATTCACAGAGCCTTTTTGGGTCACATAAAGTTTGATCCACATTCTTGAAAAAGACAGCCTCCCAAGGCAATGCACCTGAGGAAGGGGCGAGGCGGAGGAGGGCTGTACCTTCCTTTTATAAAGTGGAGAAGTTTGCGGTGCACACAGGTCTGTTGTCAGGCAGATCCCTTTTTAGGAAAAAGCACGTATGGATGTTGAAGGACTGCAAAATAGAGTCCCTTAGCATTGTCCATGCAAGTGCCTCTGGTAAACTCTTAGTGTGTCTACCCCAGTGTGAAGATCACTGCCCCAAACTGAAACCAGACGTTGCTTCCACTGATTGAAGTTTTAAGTAGCAAAAAAATGAACTTGAGACTTAGCACCCTTGGGAGTCTCCAAGTTGGCCGTGTTCATATGTAAATAGATGACTCTACGCAGCATATATACATGGCAAATGGGATGTTACATTGGAAAAAATGAGTTATGTTTTTTAATTAAATTTTTCAGAATCAGAATTTAACAAAATTTACCCAAGAAAGCTTGGCTTTTTCTTTAGGTGAGGGAAATTCATTTTTAAATAAAAACTTGAAAAGTAAAATAAATTTTTTAAATATGAAAATTAATGTTTTTACTTATTTTGACAAGAAATGCATTTTTGTTTATTACCTCCATTATAGGATATTCACCTTGCAAAGCGTTTTTATGACATGGCCGCTGAAGCCAGCCCCGATGCACAAGTGCCAGTCTTCCTGGCTCTCTGCAAGTTAGGCGTTGTCTATTTCCTGCAGTACATACGGGAAACAAACGTAAGTGGTGCCCTCTTCCTTTTAAAACATAGATGATCCAAGCCGTTGCTTTACTAAACTCTGGTGTGGCCTACCTTGGAGAGGTGAACCTCCTCTCTCTTCTCTCTCCCTAATTTACTTTCTAAATAACTATATTTTCAAATTTAAAATAAATAAATAAATAAAATAAAACATAGATGATCTAACCTCCAGTCTCCTGGAGGCTTGTGTTTTAAAAGTTGGGAGGCATAGAAAAGAGTGTCCTGCGAGAGTCAGGTGTTTCCCTTCCTCCCCTCAGGTGAAGTACCAGAGGACCTGGTCACGGCAGGTTGATATAGACTCAGGGCAGCTGACAGAGTCTTTAGGTAGCATTTGATGGTTCCCAGAGCTAAAACCTTTGTCACAGATGCAGATGTTACAGGAAAAAGGAAACAAACTAATAACAATTGAAGCAGCAGTTAACCAAATTCAGTAAAATTAAATCAGATGATGCCTGCCAGTGACTCGACCAGGTCTCTTAAAAAGAAAAAAAAAGAGGGAGAAAAGGAAGAAGCTGCCCTGACTGTTGTACTTCAGATTCTTCTGATAGTGAAACAAGTTAAAAATGCCACCTGAATTTTCTTCTCTAAAAATAGCTTGAAGCCGGGCTCGGTGGCTCAGCCTGTAATCCCGCGCCTTTGGGAGGCTGAGGTGAGTGGATTGCCTGAGCCCGTGGGTTCGAGACCCACCTGGGCAGCGAGACCCCATCTCTACAATAAATCAAAAAATCAGCTGGGCGTGGTAGTGCATGCCTGTAATTCCAGCTCCTTGGAAGGCTGAGGCGGAAGGATCGCCGGAGCCCAGCAGGTCGAGGCTGCGGTGGCCGGGAGCGGCCACTGCACTCCAGTCTGGGCGACAGAGTGAGACTCCAACTCAAAAAAAAAAAAAAAAAATAGCTTGAATTGTTTGAACAGGCTAATGGTGGAACCTAGACAGGAGGTGGGTCACCCATTCCCTCCAAAGCCACCCACTGTGGTTCACGATCCTGACATGCAGGTGCTCTTGGCTTCTGCCAGTTTAGATTTTGTTTCCAGTACTATAGCTCCTAGTAATGGATTAACTGGTGCAACATTTAACTCTAACAACCCTAAAATGTTCAGAGCCCCTGTTAGGAATAAGGACTATTTAACTTTAGGTTATTCAGTCAGAAAAGAGTGATGTTTCATTCTTTTGTTGCTGTCTTTTGGAACCAGCTGGGACCCCACTTCAGCATTAGAGTCAAGGATGGGGTTTCTGTCGTGTGTTGCACAGACACAAGTGTAGTATGTGCTGCTCACACATCCGTCAAGAGAAACAGGCTTTTCCCTCCGCCACCCTAGCCTACGCCACTGAAGTCCTCCACAGGCAGGCCTGAGCCCTGGATGTGGGGGGCTCTGTCCTCCTGGTTGCTGACACATGTGCAATGTCAGTTGCTGTCATTGCTTGGTAGTGTGAGCCAAATGTGCTGCACACTCTGCCAGTTGAAACTAGCTTAGTTCCTTTAATTAAAAAGCTCAAGGGCCAGGCGTGGTGGCTAGTGTCTGTAATCTCAGCACTTTGAGAGGCCAAGGCAGGACAATTGAGCTAAGGAGTTCGAGACCAGCCTGGGCAACATAGGGAGAACTCATCTCTACAAAAAAAAATTAAAAATGTTAAAAAATAGCTTGACATGGTAGCATGCAGCTGTAGTCCCAGCTATTCAGGAGGCCGAGGTGGAAGGACCCACCTGAGCCCAGAAGGTTGAGGCTGCAGTGAGCTGTGATCATGCCACTGCACTCCAACATTTATAACAGAGTGAGACCCTGACTCAGAAAATAACAATAGTAAAATAAAAAGCTGAGAGTGTGAGTCTTTCTGTCCCAGGACTCATTCAGACTCTCGTCTCCCACAGTTTTTGTCATTCATAAACTGCTGGCTGCATCTAGGATTCCATCTAACAGTACAGTGTCCTGGGTATCTTATAGCTTTGTTGTTTTTTTTCTAATACAGAAGTATAAAGAAGACAATTAAATGCCCCATAACTCTACCACCTAGATATTCCAACTGAAAAATTAAAAGTACAGAGTAACAGGTATTGAGTTTTAAGAAAGTCAAACAGTACAGAAAAACACAGAATCTTACATTCCAGGTTCCCCTTCAGAAAACACAGCTAATGGTTTCCTGTCATTTTTTTTTCAGATTTCGCATCTGAACCTACAGATATGTATTACAGAAACCTTTTAAATGTAATTGTATTTAAATAGAATATATACCTTTTCTTAGGTAGCAGTCAGAAAATATCAGGAATAACTTTTCTTAAGTGACACTAAAACAATGAAAAGATCATAGACTAAGATCATAATTTTAATTTCAAATTCAGATGTAAAATATATTGCACCTTAGCTAAATCCTAACTGAAAAGCATTATTCACTTAGCTATTAAATGTTTGAATTGCTGCAATCTTCGATGATAGGAGAGCTGCAACATAGCCCCACCATCACTAAATGGCTCATCAGCTGTGCCATCACTGCACCTGTTACAGGTGTGCCCAGAAGCCTATTCCATCCACCTCCCACTCTCCATTGTCCCAGTGTTTTTTCAAATATTTTCTGTGAAAAATGGTTAAAATTAGTGCATTAGATTACTGATGGGAAACTGTTAGATGCTTTGTATATTCGCCTATTATAAATTTGTAGCTCAATTCCTGAGACACATTATTTTGAGCTTAAGTTGAAGACTTTAAAACCTTTTCTTAAAAAACATATTGCAAAGGGTTCCTAAAACCAATTATTTTAAGTTCTGTACTTGTCTCTCATTTGCAGTGTAACTTTCCCAGTTCCTTCCTTGACATTTTAGCGATAACAATGATTTTTGTGTCATTTTCATTAAGATTCGAGATATGTTCACCCAGCTTGATATGGACCAGCTTTTGGGACCTGAGTGGGATCTTTACCTCATGACCATCATCGCATTGCTGCTGGGAACAGTGATAGCATACAGACAGAGGCAGCACCAAGACATGCCTGTCCCTAGGCCTCCGGGGCCACGGCCAGCTCCCGCCCAGCAGGAGGGGCCGCCCGAGCAGCAGCCACCACAGTAACAGCCACCATGCCTGGCCTTGGTCAGTGACAACTAAGACAGTTGTTCGCTGAGAACACTTGCAGTTGATTTAGGGCTCTGGCTCAGTGGTCACATCCTGGAGGAGGCACAAGGAAGCATTGAATTCCTAACGCTGCTTAGAACCTGATGCCTTTATCTTCAGGGATAAGTAACTCTTACCTAAACTAAGTTGAATGTTTGTTTCAGTGCCATATGGAATAACAACTCTCTCAGTGGCTTTTTTTTTTTCATGGAAACATATGTGAGACACTCAACATAATGTCTGCTGTATCCAGCTATCTTTCTTGGATCCCTTTAGTCATTCTTTCAATGTGCATAAGTTCTTACTATCCACCATCTTTAAGGTATTGTGCATCGACACTAAAAACTGATCAATGTAAAAAGGAAAACCCAATTAGTTGCAAGTTTAACCTTAAACATGTTTGAAAGTCTGAAAATAGAACTTGCCTTTTAAGTTAAAAAAAAAAGTCTTCGAAGGGTTTTAGACCTGTGGTAACTGAGCAACTTTTACCAGGCCACATGGAAAGATCCACGTTCAGCATATTTGTTATTTCATAAGGGAATGTTGGGAGGTTTCTTATTATTGGTGATTATCACATTTTATACCATATTCCCCTTCTTCAAAGACTGAAAGTCCTTGCTAAAGAGTTTTTTGTAAACTGTACTTCTTTGGAATGGAACATATATATATATAGATATATATATAGATATATATATATATGTAAAACTTTGTGAACTGACTCCTTGCATTAACATGTGAATTTGCTCTGTAATTTGCTTGTTTTGAATACACAGAGCCTCAATCCAGAAGCCAGAGGATGGACAAAATGGGAGAAATTAGAAAGCAATATTAAAGAAACTCTGTATGGGGTACCAGGATCATAGATCCACTTTCTCAAAAGTTGAAGCATTTGTGCCCAGAATTCATTTTATGTTGCATTTCTTATTGCACAAAGAAAAGATCCACCCTCCTGAAGCTTTAAATATGAAATCGCCAGGATATGGCACCCAGGAGCTACCATTGTCATACTCAGGGCATCAAAGGTGGGTGGAACTCAGTGGTTGCCGAAAGCTGAAGCCTGTCTGTACCCTCTGTATAGCTGAGGTCGCTTTTTATTTCTGACAGTAGCAAGTCAGCCGCTACCTTAGTTCTCATGTTCACCATGCTTCCACTGTCAACCTTAGGAAAATCAAGGCCCCTATACTTCAGGATTGTCTGATTAAATAGCATGGGGAAAAATGACAAAAAAGAGAACAGAATTTCACATAATCACATGAATGTAAGAATTAAAGCTTAGACCAAATTTGTCTTTGATCTTATTGTCAGATGGTGGCGTCCACCCTCCTGTGTCTCATCTGGGACTGCTTGTGTTTCTGAGCAGGCCTTCTGCACCCACTGACATCAGTCCATTCATATACTTTTTTTACCACAATCCCTCATCTGCCAGAAAACTTGAAGAGTTGATTACTCATAGAGTTATGATGCTTTGGGTTTTGAAGTTGGGGTTGTATTTAGATCTAGATTTAATTAGTCTAGAATGAACATGAAGGCTTTCAATGTGAAGTTGTATACTTATTTTGTGTTTAGAGTATTATGGGAAGCAGGCTTTCCCCCCAGACCATTGCTTCCAAATTTGAAGAGGTGGTCCCAGAGAGAACCGAATGTGTGAAAGCACATCTGTGAAAGGTGGGGAGTTTTACCCTCAAAAGCGTAACGCCACTTGGGCAGCTCTTGTAAATACTAAGGCTTGTTTGACCTCTTACGCATAGAGATGTGAGTGCAACTGGCACAGTACGTTGGTGTCCACCCAGCTGCCTCTTCTCCCCGCTTCAAATAAGTACAGTTGGTAGTAGCAGCCACGTATCATTAGAAAGAACTGTTTTAATTTATTTAGAAGTTGAAAAACCCTCGAAGACAACTTTTCATCTTTTCCTTCTGCCATTGTCTAATTTCTCTTTCAGCAGCATCTCCTTCCATCTTTTACTTCCCTTCATGGTACCTTGAGAAAACATTTCTAACAACAGAGTGCACTACCTAGGGCTGGATGGGAAAGCGTAGTCTTGTTCTTCATGTAATAACAAACTTCTATTAGTTTACCACTTGCCTTTTTTATTATTGGTATTCCAAATATCCTTTCCTTGGCTTGTTTCCACTTCCTGTTTTACCCTGGGTCATTTGCTACCAGAAATTTGAACAGTATCTTTAAAATTAACTAAGTTCTTAGGACTTCATTTAAAGACTGTCTCAAAATACTTTGCTCCCTTTTTCTTTTTTGTTCATGGGACATGGTACCTAAGCAAATAGGAATTGGGTTTGGTTTTTCTCCTAACATAATGCTCAATACTTACCTAATCAAATGGCATCCATTTGAATAAAATGACAATAACTAAAGCTAGTTAATGTCAGTGACATTAAACTAACTCCAGGATTCAGGAGTTGTAGTGTTAGAGTTTAGACTTATCAGATGGAGTGTGGCTTCCTTTCTCTTCCAGTAGCCCATCTCTCCTGATTCCTTTTCTAGTTGATCTTGCTGCTTTCAAAGGTGATGACAGTGGTACTCTTTAGCTTGTATCACCTTGTGCATTTGGTTTGTTGGTTAGCCAGCTGTCTTGAGACTGTCCATTTTGCTTCTGTTTTATTTTACAAAAGTAGCATTGGCAGGTTTCTTTTTTATTCTTGTATTTGAAGTTTTTGTTTCTGGTTTTTCTAGGTGAGGCTTATCTTATTTTTGATTACTAGTCAGTGGCACAGAAAAAGTAAATCAAAGACTTTTTTCAAAATTCATTATTAGCACTTAAATAAGATTAACTTATGAATCATTCATCTTAATACTCTTAAGGAGTTGCTACTTTTCTTCCTATAAGATTAATTTCTGAGAGTTTTACCACTAAGCTGTTTTATCTCTGTACCATTGGGAAGTTTGGAAACGTCCAGTGATCTGGTGATGATCTGATGATTTATTTAATTAAGGAGCTTCTGATCCCTCCAGGAAACTTAAGTATTCTATATATAGGATTTTTTTCTTTGTTTTTCCCTGTATTCATTGCTTCTCATGTTTGTTCTTTAAACCAATGTTTTGGAAGTATGCATGGAGGCCTATAAATGAAAACCACAATTCTTCATGTGTGTAGCATGTGGATTCATGTCTAACTATATATGCAAAAACTTCCTTTACAGAGGTTTGGACTAACATTTCACATGCACATTTCAAAACAAGATGCTTCAGGTAAACAGCTCCATGACCTGCCAAGAACAGCAGGGCTATATTTGCTCCAGTGACAGCTGGTATTTGTTTTGGAAGTGAATCCAACATACATTACACAATATTATGACTAGAAGTATGTAAGAAGTTATCAGCACAAAAGAAAACTTCTATTTTCATTAGTCATTGCTCTCAAACATAAGTGAAAATATAAAATTTCTGAATGCCATATTGTCTGAGGCAGTACCTTGTTTTTAAATGTGTGGCATTCACTGAAAAGCTAAATTTCTCCATCCACTTGGTATTTCAAGAAAATTTAAAATGATCTCAAGTAAAAATGATTTGTATTTTAAAGTGACTATTTACACAAGTAAAAATCCAATTTTGTGTGCATGAAAAGGATCCCTTGGTTATATACAGGGAATCATCGCATGTGTGCTGTTCTTCCTATTTGGTTTGACAAACAGGCTGACACTGTTCTCTTTGATTTAAAAAAAAAATTCATAAAACTCATAGTGTTGATATGATCGAGATGTAACCACTATAATTATTTAGGAGAGGAAGTTTAAAAAGACCATCAGCTGGCATTGTGAAGAACACCATGGTAGATTTTTTTTGTAAGTTTATTTTGTATTTAATGAAATGCAGCATAAAGGCTGGTGAAGTGTAGTATAATTGTGTAAACAAAAATATCCTGTTAATAGAGAGATGTACAGATTCGTTTTGTACTGTATCTTGAAACTTGTGAAATAAAGATTCCACCTCTGGTTATATCCTGCGTGCTGTAATGTACCACAACAAGAGCTTTTCCATCAGACTTCTTTTTTCTTTTTTTTTTAACCTGAATGATTCAATGTGGTTTTTTTTCGTTTGTTTTGTTTTTGAGTTGGAGTCTCACTCTGTTGCCCAGTCTGGAGTGCAGTGGTCACTCCCAGCCACTGCAGCCTCGACCTGCTGGGCTCTGGCAATCCTTCCGCCTCAGCCTTCCAAGTAGCTGGAACTACAGGCACACGCTACCACACCTGGCTAATTTTTTATTTATTGTAGAGATGAGGTCTCGCCAAGTTGCCCAGGCGGGTCTCGAACCCACGGGCTCAGGCAATCCACTCACCTCAGCCTCCCAAAGGCGCAGGATTACAGGCTGAGCCACCGAGCCCGGCTGATTCAATGTTTTAATGAACCTTTTTGGAAATTCAGAAGCTCTGGAAAACATTCATTTGGGGCAATTTGAATCCATTTTTCATTTTTAACTCCTGAAATTCAGCTTCCTATAAGTTGAATCTTACTCTTGGGAGAATGTGAATTTGCTAAGAAATGTTACCATCTTTAAATCTCTAATAGCTTTGACTTGAATCAGCCTGTGACATACAGTAAACATGTCCCTTTAATTTAGCCTGATTATGGTATAATTTATCTAAAGTTTGTTTTATTCATTGCCTTATCCCAGGAAGTTTTTAAGAGGGCTTCCAGAGATGCATACAATACAGCACAATAATGTTTATTTAGAATAAATAAGAAGATCTGTGTAAAGGGGAAATTAAAAAGAAAATATTAAACCTGAAGTTTGTATACAAAATGTTCAAAGTGGGGTACAAATTTGGCCTTCAGCTTCAGAGCAGCTGAATTACAGAGACACTGAAACAGTGTTCCAGCTTAGAAGAGTCAGATCCTTGGATAAAAAGCCTACATGATGCAAATTGTGGCAAATGAGATGTTGGGTCTCAAATTTTACCCGGAGGAGCACAATCAGCCCCCATCTCCAAATGACCTTGAATGACCTAAAATAAAAGTTGTAAGGAAATAGGATATCAGAGTTTTAACACCAGCAGACTGATCGTTCAACCTGGACATGGGTGTGATGCCTGTTTACCACTCAACCTCATTCTGACAAGTTGTTAAAGTGACTGACTTCTCAGTCTTCACTGGATACAACTTGATGAGATAGAGCCTCTGTCCTAACTTCCTTTATGATACCAATTTAAATTAGTTATACCAGCTTTGAAATTTGCTTACACTAAGTTATAGCATACATATGAATTATATATAAGTAAAAAAAAATCAGAAGTTATTTCTGTAGTAGAAAATGAAAAAAGAGAAGGAAGATTTTTACTTTTTGGAAATTTTCCATGAATAAGCAAAATAAAATGAACTTTAGAATCTACTAGTTCAAAAGAAGGTACTGCTGTGTCACGGACCTTGTATATTTCTTCTCATGTTTCTTAAAAAGCCATCAGACTGAACAAGCTTATAGTTATATCCTGAAAATTCTACCAACCTAGTAGTTTATGATTAGTATAACGTTTTGAGAAAAACTCTGATTTTCCTAGACACCAAATTTTGTCTAATTTACTTTAAACATAACTTAGTGTGTATTAAATTCCATTTCTAAAAACCCCAAATAATTTTTTCTCATATAAGTTGAGTAGAATGTGGTCCATTAACTGATTTTGGAACATTCATATATTTTTTGTTGCTACTCAGTCCAGTTACCTTTTCCCTTCTCTCTGCCTTCCAACAGAACATCATTAAAGGTTATTAGCCCTTCAGAATTGAAAAGAGTAACTCTTAAGTCTTGAAAGTAATGGATATGAGATTCGAGTATCCTAAGTAAGGAATCTTACTTTGAAAATGAAGATGTTACTGAGTTTTTACATGATTCATGATTTTCATGTGAACAGAAACCTCTATTCTCAGTAACAGCTTTATTTCAAGATGTGAACACACAGCTGTAGGTTTCAGAGGTTGCCCATCTGGGGTTCCCACTCTCCCTCCATGACCTCGCCCATAAGATGCTTCTCATAGGAAAATTTGACTACTTGAACTTCTTTGTTCTAAATGCAATCATCTGAAACAAACAGAGGTCAATCCTGTTAATGTGAATGTGTGTGAGTGTGTACATGGCCATAGGAGGTGGAGGGAACCTTCCAGCTGACTTTCTGTTATGTACTAGTAAAGAATTTATTGAATTTTTCCAACCTGCACATGTATGTTTTCTTTTACCTACTACTTGGACAATGTTCTTTGGCTGATAACAGCTTATACCATACAGCTTGCTTGCTTTCTTGCTTTCTTTCTTTTTTTTTTTTTTTTTTCTTTTTGAGTTGGAGTCTCACTCTGTCGCTCAGACTGGAGTGCAGTGGCCGCTCCCGGCCACTGCAGCCTTGACCTGCTGGGCTCCGGCGATCCTTCCGCCTCAGCCTTCCAAGTAGCCGGAATTACAGGCATGCGCTACCATGCCCGGCTGATTTTTTTGATTTATTGTAGAGATGAGGTCTCGCTGCCCAGGCAGGTCTCGAACCCGCGGGCTCAGGCAATCCACTCACCTCAGCCTCCCAAAGGCAGGGGATTACAGGCTGAACCACTGAGCCCGGCTTCCATACAGCTTTCAATGCATGGAAATTTACTTCCAGGACAGAGAGAGGTAAGAACAACCCAGTATTTTCCCAGTATTTACTTAGTGGACTCCTGAAGTATGTGCTGTGACTGTATGTCTCCACGCTGGAGCTATGGACAGCAGCCTTTATTATTTCAAAAGCAAGAAAAAGTAAGTGAATTGCTACTCATTAGACTTAGGACCACTATTTAAATGGGCTTTTTAATTTTGAGTCACTCGCAGTGTAGGAGTTGCTGACAAATGGGACCAATTTTCCCACTGACCCTCCTGAGTTGCTTGATTTACTTTTTCTCAACATCTAAGTTTGTATTAATGTGAGTTTCTAAAAACAAGCATCTATGCAGGGGGGAGAGAGGGTAGTGAGAGAGGCAGAGGAACACAGCACGGAGGAAAGGAATCTACTGATAATAAAGCCCCAGCCAGGTTCATCCCCTCCTGGGTTTCATAGTCCCCCAGAGACACGTGGCCTTAAAAATAGTGTACCACTTGCTCCAGCGGGTGCCAGTCTGGGCTGCCATCAGCTTCTTAAGGTGCTCGATGGTGTGTCGGTGTTGCATTTAACGCGGACCTTCCCCTACGGTGATGGCACGCAGCCCAGCTCAGCCGGGCTAGAGCTAGAACCGCCTAGAACCAGGCAACACCCCAACCTCCTGGCTCCAGCGCCGAGCGCCCACCGCAGTGGACGCCGGGAACCGGAAGCGGAAGTGCGGGAGCAGAAGCGTCGGCCCCGCGTCCCGGGGCTCGCCTGGTTTCTCTGTAAAGGAGTATACTGATCAGCTCTAACCCCACTGAATGGCCCTAAAATGCAAAGGAAGAAGGGTAGGAAGCTACAGTAAGGAGGAAAGAGTCCTTCACCGGGTTCCAGTCCTCACAGTGAGTCGGTGGTCTCACAAGCCACACGAAAAGTCACATGGACCTCCTAGGTGTCATGAGACTGGGTGGTCGTTAAGGTCTTCTCCGGCTGTTGGAGGTCTGAAATGCCGAAAGAGATTGAATTGACTTTTTTTCACAGAGACCGGACTCTGACGGGGTTTTGTGGTCGAAGTGACAACGTTCCTCTGTTCTAAAGTGGTTGGCTCCAAATAATTTACAGGCAGAGTCGCCCTTTAATTTAAGGAAGGTCAGTCTTTTCTTTTCTTTTTGTTCTTTTTTGAATTGGAGTCTCACTCCTTCGCCCAGGCTGGAGTGCAGTGACACGCTCACGGCCACCCCAGGGTCCACCTGCTGGGCTCCAGCGATCCTTCCACCTCAGCCTTCCAAGTAGCCAGAACTATACACGTGCACTGCCACACCCGGCTAGTTTTTGATTTATTGTAGAGAGAGGTCTCACGAAGTTGCCCGGGCGGGTCGCGAACCCGAGGGCTCAGGCAATCCACTCGCCTCGGCCTCCCAAAGTGCTGGGATTACAGGCTCAGCCACTGAGCCTGGCCAAAGGTCAGTCTTAAAGTTTACAACATAAGGATGTAGTTTGTCATTCATTCAACAATCTTTATTAGTCACCTGCTATCTTCCAGCACTGTAGTGTAAAATGAATATAAGGATGAGTATGATTGAAGAATGCATTTAAGGGGTCCTCTGGGGGTTTTTTCCACCAATGATTGAATGCAGTTTGTGACCGGCGCTAAGTGCTCTACATACATTATTGAATTCAATCTAAAATACTCCACGGTGTGAGTACTATTCATGTCATTCCCATTTAGCAGGTAAGGAAACAGGCTTAGAGGGGCTAAGCAACTTCAGAGTCACTCAGTGTTAGTCATAAAACCTGAATTCAAATAGTCAGCTGTCTTGACTATAAAACCCAAGTTCTTACTTATTTTGCTATGCTGTCTGCTTAATGCACTGAGGCGAGGTTTATAAGGAAGGTGTGAATGTTATGACCGAATAAGGGAGAAGAAGTCACGCCAGCAAGCTGAGTTTAATTAATTTTTATTAACGCATGGGTCAAGAGCAGGCAAACGCCAGGAAAAATAACTCTTGACAAATTGGTGCAGTTTGTGACAAGCTTTTATAGGTAAAATTTTCAGCATTGGCTACATAGCAATTTAGTGATCATAGCAACTATTAACTGACAACTTGGCAACCAAAATGGGAACCTCGAGTGTTAGGGAGCTTTGATTAATTTCATGTCAGGTAGGTATAACCAGTGCCCAGAAAGTCCCTGGAGTTCTGCCATTAAGATATAGTTTAAGGTAGTTTCACAGAGATAAGGAAGAAGAATCATTATACAATGGAGTTACCTCGGTTAAGTCACTAACAATATAAGAACAAACTATGAAAATGTCAAAGCGTAACATTTGATTTCAGTTAACAAAGAATACAGTTACATGGGAACTATGACGAAGGAGTTCTGTAACAGTCAGCAGGCAACAGTCAG